AGAGGCAGAACGCGAGGAGGAGGAGAGGAGCGAGCGAGGGAGGAGGAGGAGGCGGGGAGACGCCGTGTTGCGAGTAGGGGTGAGGAGGAGGAGGAAGAGGAGTAGGAGGTAGGATGCAGCAGGAGGAGGAGGAGGAGGGATGAGAAGGTGTGGAGCTAGGTGTCGTGTGAGGAGGAGGGAGCAACGAGGAGGCGAGGAGGGAGTGAGGAGACGAGGGAGTGAGGAGTGGGGAGGCCGGAGAGTGGGCTGAGAGCGTGATTGAGTAGGAGTTAGTTGGGAATTTAGGCGGCAGGAGGAGGAGGAGGCAGGAGGAAGGGAGACTCAGCTGATAGATGAGCAAGGACGGTGAAGAGGTATCCGTACTTCCTGCTCCACCTCCATCACTTTCTCCCCCTCCTCCTTCTCCCTCCCTCCTCTCCCCCATCCTCCTCCCCCCCTACTCCATGCACCTTCTCTCCTCCTCGCTCCCTGCCCTTCCTCCTCCTCCTCCTCCTCCTCGCTTCTCCTCCCCTGCTCCTCCTCTATGCTTCTTCATTTGATCTTCCTCACCTTTCTCCGCGCTTCCTTCTCCCCCTTCCTCCTGCCTCCTCCTCTCTCTTCCTCCTGTCTCCTCCTCCTCGCCCTATTCCATCCCCTTTCCTTCTCCTCCTCTTTCTCCCTCCTCCCCCTACTCCATCACCTATCGCTCTCCTCCTCCTCTCCTCCTCCTCCTCTCCCCCTACTCCATCACCTTCTGTCCGTCCTCCTGCCTCCTCCCTCCTTCTCCTCTCCTCATGCCTTTCTCCTGCCGACCTACTCCTCCTCCATCACCTTCTCTCCGCCTCTTCCTTCTCCTCTCCCTTTCTCCAGCACTCTCCCTCCCCTCCTCCTCCTCCTCCTCCTTCCTCCTCGTCCCTCCCGTCCCCTCCCCTACGTCCATCACCTTTTCTCAATCCTCCTCTCCCCTCCTCCTCCTGCCCCCTCCTCCTCTATGACCTACTTCACTTCGATCTCCATCACCTTCTCTGGCTTCTCCTCGCTCCTCCTCCTCCCATCCTTCCTCTTCTCCTCTACCCTCCTCCCCTTCCTCCTTCTCTCCTCCCTTGACCCCATCACCTCCCCCTCCTCTCTCCTCCCGTCCTCTCCTCCTCCCTACATTCCATCACCTTGATTGTTTGTTGTTGTGTTGTTGTTGTTGTTTGTTGTTTTGTTGTTGTTGTTCATAATGGCTGTGGTTGTGTGATTGGTGGTGGTGGTGGTCGTGTGGTGGCCGGCGGCGGCGATGGTGGGGTTGTGGTGGTGTGGGGAGTGTTAGTCGTGGTTCTGTTGTTGTTGTTGTTGTTGTTGTTGTTGTTGTTGTTGTTGTTGTTGTTGTTGTTGTTGTTGTTCATAATGGCTGTGGTTGTGGTGGTGTGGTGGAAGTGTTAGTCGTGGTTCTGGTGTTGTTGTTGTTGTTGTTGTTGTTGTTGTTGTTGTTCCTATGAATTGATCAAGAGGGGGCATATACCCAATCTTAGAAGATAAAGGTTTGGAATTTCTTAATATGCAAGTGAGTTCAGCTCCTTCGTTATCAAAAGGAGTAACTAAAGAGCAAGAAATGAACTTCTTAACAGAAATGAAGACACCACCATCATGACAGTTTCGATCTTATAGTTATTAGGGAAACAACTCACTGGATGCGATAGAGGGCTTCAGTTTAGACTCTGTTTTTATACTACTCTGTAGAAATACGCCTCATAGAGCCGGAAAACGTTTCGAGCAGAGTATGGAGCTTGAATCTGTGGTTATATAACATAAATAAAGTGTATGTTGTGTATGCGACGAAACAGTATGCGAATATTTAATTAATTTTTGTTCGATGCTAATTTAGGTCTGCTGCCCATGGGCGCCTTCTACTGTTGTACAACACCTTAAGCCCTTCTGCTATTCTGCCCAAGAAATCAAGCCATTGCGTTTTATGTTAAAGAAAATAAGCTATGCAAGTCCTCTAGCATGGTCTGTAGAAAGATTAATTAAACATGTATTTATGTAACATTTACATATGTATCCGTATGCATATGTATATGTTATTTACATATGTACATTAACATAAACTCATTTTACACTCATTTGGGGCCAGAAAATAGATAATTATCCTCGTTCCACGCTTTCCTGGCACCCCCAACACTAACAGTAGTAAAATATCTTAACTTTGTTGGTTGCAAATTACTCTAACCCTGGTGCTAACACGGAGCCTAACCATACGGCGAGATCATTGAGTTCTGTGTTTTGGGGGTTCATTCCAGAGGGTCATATCCCGTTATGCCACATTTGAAATTGGGCGCCCGCATTCGAAAAAGGCTCTGGAATCACAACACCACCGCCGCCGCCGCCGCCGCCGCCGCTGCCGCCGCCGCCGACACCACCACCACCACCACCACCACCACCACCACCACCACCA